ACCAGGAAGATCATGACCACAATGACGCTGATCATGATGAGCGTGTTGAGCACAGAGTTGAGGAGGCGCTGGCCCACCGAGGGCGTGTCCTCGGTGAATGGCGTGTAGATGCTGAGGGGGAAGGCGAGGTGTCCACTTCCTGCCTGCCATGCGCCCCCGCCCTGACAGATCGCTGGTGGAGGTGCCCTGGGCACAGCTGCCTGGGCGAGTGCGGCCATGCCCTGCCCTCCCACCTGTCTCCTGGGCCTGACCTCAGCCTGTGGCTGAGCCCGGTGCAGCAGCGGGCAAGGGGGAGCGACCCGATCGCAGTCACGCAGTGACAGGTGGCACAGCTGTGCCAGAGACCCGGTGCTTGGAACGCAGAGCTCAGTGCTGTCTGGCAAGAGCACGCCTTCTGCAGTTACACCAGCGCTCCGGAGGCAGCACACGGCAGGCTCTGTTCTAGGAGCTTTATACAGATCAGCTCACTTAATTCTCCCAGTAACGTCATCAAACCCATTACACAGAGGAGGAAGCAGAGGTGGGGAGGTTAGGAACAGGCCGAGGCAGTGGACGGACCAGGGCGTAGACGCTTCAACCCTGCTCCCACTGCTGCTGGCGCAGTGGCCAGTGCAGGCCGCGGCCCCCGACCCAGCCCCGCTCCCCACCCCGCCCAGCCCCCAACTCACAGCTGTCCATTCTTCTCCGTGTAGAAGCGCACGGACTTGATGGTAGCCACCACCACGACCATGCACAGCGTGACAGGCACAAACAGCATGATCACGTGCTTCGCCCCATACTTGAGAGTCAGTTCCTCCTCCAGGCCCGGTGGTCGCCCGGGGACCCCACTGCAGACGTAGCGGTCAGCGTCCTCCTCGTGGTCCTCCTCGCTGTCCTGGCTTCTCTGTGGGAAACCACACTGTGAGGGCCACAGAATGTTCCCCCGCCTCAGGGTGGCCTACCAACGTGTGGAACAGGAACCGAGAAGTCTGAATGTCGCCTGGCAGAGGTGAGAACCAGTCTGTGGGCTGCAGTGCAGATGTGGGCGTGCTGAAAATTCCGGGTCACTTGAAAAGTTTGAGAGGACAACCAGAGATGCAGAGTTGGCACCAACCACCACGGATGCTGCACGGGAGGCCGCGGCAGCCAGCAAAGAGGGTGTCTGAAGGCCCGCGACTGAATGGCTAACGGATTCGGAGCACGTCTGAAGAGCTCTCTCCTCCCTCAGCACAAGGGCTCAGGACACCACTCAGCTCTGCTCCCACGCCATACTGATTCGGGAGGAGGCAGGCCAGGTAACAGGGAGAAACCAGACAGTAAAGACTTTGGGGTGACAAATAACAAACCAGAACGGTCAACACACTCAGAGACTCTCTTTGGTTGTAAATAAGATGCTGGGAATTTGTAGAGGAAGAAATTACTTTGAAATTTTTGCCCCCCTCCCAAATCAAGCATGTAAAATTTGCCCCTCCGAACCAGAGAGGCTAACTGGGCATCAAGCATCTGGGAGGATCCGGGCTATGGGAAGTCGGGAGAGCACCGTGAGTGGGCGAAGGAGGGGGCCGGACGCCCCCAGGTGCTGCCACAGACGGATCTGCAAGGCTTTCTGCTTTGAACTGTGGCACTTCGGGATCATTAGCTGCTAATTACATTAACAGCCAAAGACAAAGTCAAATGCAACCCAAATCAAAAATGGCCGTTGCTTTGGTATCACGGCTTTGCAGAGAACGCCCATCTGGATGCTCAGCTGAGAAGGCGAAGAAACTGTTAATGAGCAGGAATTGAAACAACTAAAATGCACGAACGCTCCAGGAGACTAAAGATGAAGAAACGAGCACGAAAAGTCTACAAGGCGGCTGCATGGTGGCCCTAAACTGGTGAAGTCCTGCTCGGGGCAGAGAAAGACAAGAAATGAGCTCAAATTCCAGCGAGGGGGGTTACGGCTGGCTAGAAGGAAAAAAAACCCACATGGACAGGTTTTTAAATAGTATCATGGGCAAAAGGAAGACTAGGGTATAGGCAAATTTGGAAACTGTTTTGCCCTGATGGGGAGGGAGGCTGCGGGGCCAGGTGGCTTTCCCAAGTACACCCCCAATTCATAGTGTTATAATCTCCTGCCCTGAGCACTGCAGAGTTAAGATCACGCTGCAGTTCACCCCTCCTGCTATGGACTGAATGTCTGTGTCCCCCCAAGCTCACAGGTTGAAACCTAACCCCCACCGTGATGGTATTAGGAGGTGGGACCTTTGGGAGGTGATTAGGTCATGAGGGTGGAGCCCTCGTGAATGGGGTGAACACCCTTATAAAAGGGCCATGCTCCTTCTGCCACGTGAGGACACAGAGGAGACGGCTGTATCTGCACGAGGAAGCAGGCCCTCACCAGACACCGTATCTCCTGGCAACTGGATCGTGGACTTCCTGCTTCTGGAACAATGAGAAATAAACTCCTGTTGCTTACGCATCGCCCAGTCTATTTCTGTTACAGCAGCCAGAATGGACTAAGTCACTCCCTCAGCTCAAAAGTCAAACGTGAACCAGGCATGCTCGCCTCGCTGCCACCTACCATAAAGGTGCCCTCTGGCTTTCCTGCTCCCGACCCTGAGCCTGTGCTACCTGTCCTAGCACCTGAACTCATTCTCACTCCTGCTCTGGGACGGGGCAGGGGCTGGGTGGAGAACCAGTCGGCCCACTGCACGGCTAACCTGTAACCGTCCTGCATGTGCAGAGTCTGCTATGAAGACGAAGGACCCGCCGTCCACCCCTCTGGCCAATCCCCACTTCACTCCCCCCGCATCAGGGAATGTCTGCTTTCCATCCATTAGGTATGGGAACCCCAGAGGCCTGTTTCCAGGCCTCAGCCCGCTGGCGGGGACCTACCCGCTGGGCGGCAGCGCCCCTGTCCTCCGGGGCCGGCCTGCCTTCTGGGCGGGCGCGTGGCGTGGGGCTCTCGGCTGACATCAGGGAGGTCCGCTCGCCGCACACTTCCTCCTCACTGTCGGAGGCCATGAACGTGAACATGGCCCTGCCGCTGGGAGCACCTGCGAGAAGGAGCACAGGGGACCTCGTTCCTCCTCCCTGCGAGGCGAAGGCGGCAGGGGGCTGAAGGAACGGCAAGAGGCAGCTTTAAGCCCCGGACACAAGTCCTACGACACAACGACCCCCCAGGAAGCCGTGTCAAATGACTGCTGTAAAACAACAGTCCTAAAGAGCCACCACCAGCCACCAACGAGGCTGTAGAGGCCCTGACGGCAACTGGCCTCAGGCGATCCATGCCACAGGCAAACCGCCCAACTAGAAAAGTCAGGGCCGCTCCAAACTGTCAGCACGCTCATTCATTCCATCGACAAACATCGACTGAGCACCTACAGTGCGCCGACAACAGGGCTGGGCTCTGGGGATATGAAGGTGAGTAAAAAATAGTTTTGTCCTTAAAAAAACAAACAAAAACCATCCAGTGTGATGAACGTTACAACCCAGGTGTTCACCAAGCAGTACAGAAGCACAAAGAAGGGACTGAATTCTAGAGTTTTCTAGAATGAAAATAACATCGCCTGATGGAGACAGATCGTTCCAGGTGGGAGGGCAGGGCAGAGGACACGAAGAACGTCCACCGGGGCCTGGCGCTGGAGGGCGGGGCTGTGCAGGTGTGACGGCGTCCCCGTGCCTCGTGATGATGGCATAGGGCGTCCCCCAAGGAGCATGACAGACAGATCTGTTTACAAATACCGGTCTGCACTGACTGAAAGAGGAGTAAAAAGAAGGGACAGTGCCCCCCGCGAAGGTGGTGAGGGGCCAGGAGGCGGAGGAGGTCAACAGACAAGACTGAAGGTGGGCAATGAACAAAGGACAGAGTCCGGGACGAGGCCAGCAGTGGCGCGAGGTGGGGGAGGCAGGAGGAGAATGTCTCGGGAAGGCCGGATTTCATCCCGGAAGCTGTGTCTGTGGGTGAAAAAGGAGAAGCTTCTAGGAGGCGGCTAAGGGTCTGGGGTGCAAGGGAGGGAGATGAGAGTCGAGTTTAGAAATGGCCGCCAAAGCCACAGAAGCCATGGGACCACATGTGGCAAGCGTGTGTGTGTGCACACGCACGTGTGTGTGGTGGGAAAGTATAACGGCGGCTGAGGTTGAAGGGACCACACAGGAGGGGGGCCTGTCCCCAAGGCTACCGTGCCGTCCTGAGTGGTGTCTGCACACAGCAGCACCCTGCAGAAGCTGCCCACGGGGGCTGAGAAGAGCTTCGGACAACCCCTGCCGGATCTGACTGTCCCTGTCGACATCCTGGGCAGGACAACTTCTGCCATCACTGCTCCCTAGAAACTGTCAGGCCAAGCTTCATGCTCCTAGGGGCAGATGGCCAGGTCTGCCCTCTGCTGAAAGTCCGTCTCCAAACTGGTCACCCCCCGCCCGCAGGTATTTATGATTTTCAAATGAAGCCAGCGGGTGTCTTCCACCCAGTCGGCCTCTGTTCACCACAGCAGGGTCCGTGGCTGCCACTCTTTCTGAAGACAGCGGGGCCTGGATTATTCCTGATGGACTTCAACTCCATCCCCCAGCCAGAGGCCCACGACAGAGCCTGCGTCTGGTCCACCTCACTGCCTCGGGCCCATGACAGAGGGCTCCCTGTCCAGCTCACGGGGATCTCAAAATGAATAAGCTCCCCTGGGTTTAGGATGGATGAGAAGCATGGGAGCAACAGCAGCAGGAAGTGAGGTGAGGGGCCTGCCGGGAGGGGGTGCTGAGGACACTGCGCTCAGATTAGAGGTCTCAGGGCTCAAGGAGTGAGAGGGACACGAATGGTAAGGAACTGCCCGCGAGACTGCAAAGAGCTGGGGCATCTGGAAGCCTCGTAACGAATGTGCGGGAGGGGGCGCCTAACGAGGCGACTCTGACGGGACAAGGCGAGATGATGTGTCTGAAGTGGGGGAACCCGGGAGGCAGTCACGGGAGATGCAGGAGGAGAGGTGGGGTGGGCCCTGGGCAGGCGCATGGGTGCCTGACTGGGGAGCGAGAGCTGGACCCAGCAGAGGGAACCAGAGAAGGTGTCTGAACAGAAGAGGGTTGCGAACAGGGCGAACTTTACGACAGCCCAGCAGCATTTTCCAGGCAGGGTGTGGGCCGCCCCCTCTCCACTGGGATCCCCCTAAGACTGGGCTCAGGCCAGGGCCACAGGCACCCCAGACCCTGGAACCAGCAAGGTCTAACCAGCAGAGTCAAGCCCAATTTGGGAGCCACAGCTTTGCAGCCCCAACAAACTGAGACCTTGAGAAGTTTTGAGCTTGAGTGCCTTCATCCGTGACAGGGAAAGAAACCAGCCAGGGAGGATCCAGGAGAACCTGAAAGTCCTCCTTGTGAGGCTGGGTCCCCTACATAAATCCTAAATCAACACCCGCTGGGACCCGCAGTTCCGCTCATTACTCACTCTGGCACTCGTGAATTCATTCTCAACTCCAAGTGGGGCATCCAAAACAAACACGTGGCTGAATTTTCTCAAAATCGGGTATGCCTAAATGGCAGTCCCTCTGGAGCAGAGCCTTGGATGGGTTGTGGAACTACGGGGGGCTCTTCTAATACTGTTTTCCAGCTGTCGGTTTGGCTTAGGTGTGAATTAATAACGTAGTTACAGTCTTCCAGGCCTGTGCTCTACCTTCTCGGTGCCTGGAGGAGCTGGTCACGAGTCCCTGGATCCGCAGCCCCCGAGGGCAGAGGTAAGGGCACCCTCCGGAGCCACAACGGCTGCAGCATTTGGCTGCCTCTTCTCCTAGACTCCCAAATAGCAAAGCATGGTGGACATGGACAAACAGGGAGCAGAGATGCTTCTTTAAAGGAGAAGGCGAGCTACAGGAGGGTGGGGCCGGAAAAGCAGGGTCCCAGGATTAAGTAGGGGTGAGCCCTTCCAACTTCCATTTCCTCGGCCAGGCTCCAAAAGCTAACAAGACGTTTCTTTGGGAAGCCTTTCTGTCCACCCCCCCCAAAGTTCCCCTGAACGCGCCTGGGGAGAGTGAGCTTAAAGGGGGACTATGTCCCTTCCACGTGGAACCGCACCGGACAGAGGGAGAAAACGTCAGAAAACCACAGAACGTGCCTTTCATCCACCAGATGTAACTCACAGAAGGCCTCCTCGCCAGAAAACAAACAATCCCTGAGCAGATGCCTTCCCTCATTGCAGTTTTAAAAATTCCTCTAAAGTCTTCCCCGAAGCTGAGCCCCAGACCCCCAGAAAAGCAGGGCACAGCAAAGGGGCAACAGGGAGGAGCCGGTCTTGGCTGTTCAGGCAAGGGCACTATCAAACCCCACCCTCCGGTGCCTCTTAGAGCTCCTGGCACCTGAGGGCGGGACTTAGGACTTAGGAGAGGCCAGATACCTTAAGATGCTATGTCTCAAAGGAGTCCAGGCCGCCTGAGGGGGTGGTGGTAGAATGCCACCTGTGGAGCCCTCGCTATGCACTGAACACAACCCTAGGAGCCAGGAGCTGCTTCCCCACCTGACAGGTGAGGACACAGGTTTAAAAGGTGATAGGTTCAAAGTGACCCTCAGACCTCGAGGTCAGGTTCTGTGCGCCCGAACATGATGCTAGGCTGCTTGCTTAAGATGCAGATGCCCAGGGATGTGCATTCTGAGATAGTCCCCGGATGAGTCTCAGCCTTCCCCAAGGCTGCCCAGACCAGGGAATCAGATGCCCAGCCAGGGCCCCCAGCTCCGCTCTGCAGTGTCCAGTTACAGTCTACCTTCCTGCTGCCTGGGCGTCACGCCTCACCCACCACCCACCCCCAGCACCCCGTCTGCCCCACACTGCTTGCTCCCTGAATCGGGGAGGGAAAGAAGGAACAGTCCTTTCTCTGGAACACTCCGGATCTGCTCAGAGAGCAACTGGGGAGGCAGAGGGACAGATCCTCAGACTAGGAAAGTCGGAAGGGGAAGACGGTTCTCAGGCTTGGAGAAGCCCCCAAGTCCACACCGAGGAGGAGGGTGTAGAAGAACTGGGGCTCAAACACCCCTGGCACAGACCAGATCTGCCTCTCTGAAGGCAGGAAAACCCAGAAGCTTTAAAACCTTCATGCCTTTTGATCCTGAAATGCTACTTCTCAGAATTTGTCCTAAGAAAATAATAAAAAACTTACATAAAAACACATTCCTTGTAGTTATTTATAATTGTAAAAAAAAAAAGGTAAAAATGACTGAACTGCCTGACTCTGTCCTATGACAAACACCTACCGGGGTTTATTATATGACCACCAAAAAATCTGATTTCAAAAAATACTTAACGTGAAAACAATACAAGTCTGTTAAATTAAATGTAAAACTTTGCACACATAATCACCTGAATTTTCTTAGAAAATTTACGTATATCAAGAACTGGCAGGAAATACAAAACATTAAAGTAGGTTATCTTTAAATGGTGAGATTCTGGGTGATTTTTACTTTATATATTTCTGCATGTCTCAAAGCTTCTATAATAAACATGGATTGCATGTGCAGTTTTTTTCAAAGCTATTAATTCTTTTAAAGGGAAAAAATGATTATCAACGTTTAGACAGATTTTCTTCCACTCCTCTCTCTCCCGCATCCCCTCCCACTGGACCGGGGGACCAGATGGACCCGTGAAGCCACCTCACTTCTTCTCCAGCCCCTCGTATTACCTGGCTCCTGAAGGAGGACAGAGCAGCTGGGCTGTGTCTCTTCGGACAGTGCTCTGAAATCCTTGGAGGGAAAAATCACCACCCGAATCTGTGCAGATAAACAACCTCCTTGCTAGATGTTTGTCCACACCGGAGCAGCAGTGACGTCACAAACTCCCGAGGGAGGCTGACTCACGGGCAGGTGGGGGCGGGGAAAGGTTGATGTCAAATCCTGTCACCATGTAGCAACCAGAGCTCCCTTCTCTGAGGGAGCCGCAGGAAGATGCGGAGGGGCTGACGGGGACAGGGGGTGTCCAGTGTACGAGACGACGTTGTTCTGGAAACCTGCCCCAGAACAAAGCGCGGTGGCTGACAGCCGCCTTGGTCAAGAATGCAAAATCGAACATCCGAAGGAGGCAGTGCTCACTCCCAGTAATCAGCGGTATGGGACCAAAACGCTGAAGTAGCCAAACCAAGGGACTCTGACCCAGAGAATCTGCTGGCGCCAGCGGTTCCTGCCATCATTATGGAAACCCGGTGACCCAGTTTCCTCGACCTTCTTTTCATTTCAGAGAAATATAAAGCTTTTGACCTTAAAATGTGAGGCCAATGAGATTTTAAAATGAACACTAATGCCTCCTGGAAAAAGATGGAAATTGCTTCTCCAAAGGCAAATCGGGAGTTAACGCACTTACCACAAACACTTAGGGCTGCAGAGAAAGGTCTGATACTCGATACTTTGTTTTTTTTTGTTTTTGTTTGCAGGGCGCCTCACTCACTCAACACTCCTCCCTCACTCTCGCAGGGTGGCGTTAGTTTTAAATAGGCCACTTTCTATGGTCACACGGCTGCGCTCCCATGGCTCCGGGAATTTCCCAGTATCTGTACTAGGGAAGTGTCTGCTGAGGTGAGGAAACTCCCTCAGAAATTCTACAGCTCCCGGGTCTGCCTGTCGCCCCAGCCCCAGACACCTGACCGTGTATTTGACCCTGGCTGACCTTCATGCTCCTGTCCATGTACCTGAGCCCACACCATGATGCACATCAGTTGCTAGATAGTTCTCCCCAGCTCAGGGAGGTGGCCTCGGCCAGCACGGGGACCCTGAAGAGCTGTTCCAGCCCCTGCCCCGCCCCCCCGCCCCGGAGCAGAACCCTAGGGCACCCCGATGGGGCCTCCTAAACCTGACCAGGCTCTAGAACTACCCCATCTGCTCTTTGCTCCTCAGAGCATCCAGGACCCAGGTAGACTTCCTGAAGGACTCTGAAGAAGGGACGATGTGGGGATGTGTCAGAGGGAAGCTGGGAAGGCAGTCACACAGGCCACGCCCCTAACACGTCACCTTAGAACAGGGCCCAGAAAAACATTTTCTTTTTCAGTGAGAAGCAACAAGCTAGTGGTCAAACGCTGAGGCTTTGGAGATGGACACGGTTCCAATCGCCCTGGCCTCATGGCCTCAGACAATTTATTTAACTTCACATGGCCCATTTCCTCTTCTGGAAAAAGCAGAACAGGCGAACCTTGCAAAAGGACTGTAAAATCCAGAGTCAATATGCAAAGTGCCTACCATAGCAGTTGTTCAATAAACGGTAGCTATCGTTTAGATGAAAGAGCGACAGGGACACAGTAAGGGGCAACGGAAGCTTGCTGATGTCCCTCCTGCAAAGTCAGGGTCTAATACACCACCAGACACATGAGGGCATCAGGTCACACCTCACTCAGGCCCTCAGGAGACAGCCCGTGTCCACCCAGCCCAAGCCGCTCTGGCTGCGTGAACAACGGGCACGTCCATAGGACCGAAGTCAGAGTTGGCAAGGACCCTAAAGCCCACCTAGTCAGCTCCCTATTTTATAGTTAAGGAAACTGAGCCCCAGAAAGATAAAAGGAATCAAACAGTTAAAAGCTCAAGACCAAAAGCCACAGTTATAATGCAGGTGTCCAACCTGCCAACCGAGGGGGCTCTTCCTGCCCAAAGAACCTGTAAGGGTCACATACCCTGGTGGCCCGGGGCCATCGTCACGCAGGCAGCACACACATGGGCTCTCTGGGCACACATCCACACTTTCAAGGCACGTGCCTTTTCCATGGGCAGGTACATTGCTTTTCTTTAATATACGGCTTCTCCAAAACACAGATGAGAAGTCAGTGGATTACAAACACTCACCGGATCACTGGCCACCTTAAAAACTCAGTAGTCTCTCTCCTGTTCCCAGCCCACAACTCCAGCCTGGGGGCTTTCTCTGCTCTCTCTCTCTCTGCTATTAGTGTCCCACATGGGGGCAGAGGGGGTGGTGGCTCCAACATAAGCATGGCACAGGGATGGGGAGTGGCCACGTGCGGGAGTCAAGCACTGCTTCTCTGTGGCACTGGAGAGATAACGGTCTACGCCCCAATCGAGCCTGGTTTTCAGAGGATACTCAATGAAGGGAAAATTTTGAAGGCATAATAGTAATGGAAAAGACAGGACACAAAACTTCATCTCGTTTCCTACCTCTAATATTTTAACAGATTTTTGCACACATGGATGTCCATGAAGTGCTTAAGAAAATGTATGTTAACAGTGGTCATTGCTGGGCTGAGGGCTAATGGACGACTTTTAAAAACTATTGCCCGAATTTTCTAGAATGAACATGTATTACTTTTATTTTTAAAAAGTCT